TGCCAACCTGGGAATGGCTAATTGCTGCTTCATGCAAAACCTGGACTGACACATTTTTTGCTGTATCTATCACAAAAGAAACCAAAATGCAGCATAGAATAAAATAATCAAATTAAAATTCTAGTGATCACCAGCCTAATAGTTCACATGAGGAGGGGACAGCTAGAATGCCCAGACAGAAGGACACCTAAAAGGCTGAAAATCCACAGGAAAATCTTAAGTTTAGTGACAAGTCCTGAGGACTGATTACATTTATTTGAAGACTGAAATCCTGTTCTGTCACCCTCACTTGCTCGTGAGGGAGTAAACTAACCCTTAAAAGTTGTATATAAAGCCTTCAAGAAAACATTGTAAATGATGTGACTGTCTTCAGTTTTACTTTCAAAATAAATTCCCTTACACTGGGCTCAAAGTCACAAGGCTCAAGGCAGTGGTAGCAAAGAAATTTAGTACGCCTTTACCATAAAGACATAACTTAAACAAAGAAAGAGTTAAAATTTTAAAACACCATAAGAAAATTTCTCATTATACTTGCAATAACCTGAATTATTGTACCATACCCATATTTTAATTTTACCTAGTCATCAAGGTTGAAATATCATGTTATTGCCATACTTCTCCAAGAAGCAACTGTATTACTAAAGACATTATCAAAAAAATATGGAATTCTACTGATTAGTAGAAGCACTGTAGCAGGACCAAAAACAAAAGAAAAAAAGAAAGAAACGTTTTATTCAGTATCTTTCAGGCATAGACAGAACCAAATTTCTGTAAAATTGTCTCTTTCATCTGTCAGAAAATGAAGCCTGTAATTACATTTTAGATCTTGGTAGAGACTTGGTATTTATATAATTGTTATCCAGTTCTTCTTTAGATGTATGTTAATGTACCATTTTTTGTATTTTCATAATTTTCATGTATAGATGATTCATTTTCAGCAGCAGTAAAGTAATCTTGAAAATGTTCATCTCTTTTTTCCACACCTTTTTGCAAATCCGGTCATAGCTCTGCACGGATGGGAGTTTGTAACCGAGTATTTTCAGACTGCCTTATTTACAGAAACAGCTCTGCGCCAATGCAAAGTAACCACGGAGAGCTGTGATGAAACGTAAATTTTAAGGAATTTAGAGATTTTAGAGGAGATAAGATTTTAGTTAGAGATAAGCCTTATTAGAGTTAATTAAAATAAATGAGTAGGCCTTGATGAAGTTAAGAGTTAGTAATTAACTAATAATTGATTGCTTGTCAGCACAATGTTTAGTTAGCTGGGTTATAATGAAGAATATAGAAACTGACAAATAGCTTTTAGGAACATAAGACAATTGTGGACCTCCTCTGTTCTGAAACCAATTGAAGACAAGGAATGGGAGTTCTACCAAGAGTTCATTTGTCATATCTGCATTGAAAAGGTAGAAAGGTCAGAACAAGGAAGACTTCATTTATTTCCTCATTTTGGGACCCCTCCCCATAAAAGAGACCACCGACACATTTTAAGGAACAAACTACGCATGCTTAATCGCTTTTGGAGTGATTAGGATACAAAGTGGGGAATGGGATGTACCAAAAGTATGGGTATTCAATACTTGTATGGCTAAAAGGGCTCTGTAATCACTTGGAAGCTGCGGTGTGTATTTGGGAGCTATCCTGCACACCACCCGACGTCGAATAAACACACACTTTCTAACCTTAACCTGTGAGAGAGGTTTTGTCCATCACAGTTGGGTATCGGTACTAGATCAATATCCATACTTTTAAAATAAATCTGTGACAGGCTTCATACTCCGGCAGGTATGAAGCTGGACTTGCTCCTCCTTACTGCTCCATAGTGAGGAGGTATTGGGAGCAGGCTGCCGTGCAGAAGGACCCGAGGAAGATGCGGTGGCTGCGTGGGGCTGGCAGGGACGGGGTTATCGCCGCCGGGGCTCCTGCCAGCTCCGGGCAGCATTTCCCTGAAGCGCACAGGCTGCAGCAGTGTAGCCACAACAAAACAGCATAAAGCGTGTTTTCGTGAGCACGGAAAGGACGCAGCCCAGAGCTGCAAAAACAGCTGTGAAAACTGCCGGTGTTTCGTAGTCTGATTTTATCAGCACTTTAGATACTTAATTCCTCATAAAATATTTGAACAGGAATCAGGGGGTCATGAGTAGAAATTTAAGGTTTGATGGGGGTGAGAATATTTTCAAGGGAATATGGTGTTTGGGATTTTGTTTACGCAAAATTGGTACAAACAGAAGAAATTGAGGGGGAAAAAGGAACTAAACTTTTTTATCAGACACATTTTCCCACAGAATGATCAGTGAAGCACAGACACTCGTTTCAGTATGCGCAATATCCACTTTAGGGAAGTGCATGAATATCACTGGGGGAGTTCCAGAATTAAATGTCACGATCTCTCAAACCTGGATTCTGCACAGAGAAACCAAAAGGAAAACCTCAGGCACTGCTGGCACTTCCAAGATTGCATCAATAACTGTGTTGCTTCACTCATCGCATGCTTGCTGCAGGGTGGTATTTTTGTCTACAGTTTATAATGCTGCAGCACACTGATAACTCACTGGGAAAGTGCATGGGGCTTCACTGAGTAGTTTCCTCTGTGCTTGGGCTGATCTTTCAGCTTGAGCCCTAGCAGGTGCTTTGGTGGGACTCTGGGTAACTCTGTTTCAGACATATATATTCAAAAGCCATATTCAAAGACATTGAATATGAAAAAGGCATATTCAATGCCTTTTTTTTGTTTGTTTGTTTGTTTGGTTGCATGGGTTCTTTGGGTTTTTGTTTGGTTTTGTTTGGTTTTATTTTTTTTTAAGTTATAGAAGGGTTTCCACATTTAATCCTTAATTCCTGCTCAAATTTTAGAGATTTGTCAACAGATAAAAAACTTGCATGTGGGCTCCTAAATGTTGAATCCAGCTCTGTGTCTATTGCTAGATGACTTGGGCATTACTCATATACTCTTGTACAGCTCAGAAAGCTTGTGCTCGCAGTCCTTGCAGGACTAGGGCCATACTTCATGAGTTAAGAACAGCTCTCCATGCTCAGCCATGTTTGGCCTTGGCATGTTGCATTTGACAAGGCCAGCTGTACTCATCAGGGTCTGGGCAGCTAATCAAGCAGAAAGAGCAAGCAGCTATCTCTGGCGGCCTCCCCCATTCCCCAGCAGAACACATTTTTCCAGAGCCACTGATACTCTTGCAGCAAGTATCACAGACTTTACAGTTTTACGGATTTATGACTAGTGCCGTCAGGAGCTACTGCAGTGTTCCTACTTAATTTGATAGCAATAGTTGCAGTAGCACAAACTGATAACACTTACAGAGGATCTTTCTGTAAATTACTTATATTTACAGAAAAAAATTTCCATTAATATTTCCTTTTTTTCCAACATTCCATTCTGTCAGTATGTGTGCTCCTACATTTGTATAAAAATATCCTCAAGATACTCATGCCTGAACATCACTGAAACATGCACAAATGCATATCTAAATTTATACATATATAAATACATATATAAATTTATGTTTATACATATATACATATATTATATTTATGCATTTATACATATATAAATACAAGAGAAATACAGTATGGGAATTAAAGAAAAGAAATACACTCAATATACTCAATTAGAGAAATGCACTAAAGAAATACCTGTTTTAAATTGCCCATTCATCCCACACACAGTCCAACTACATTGTGCAGTAGGAAGGTCCCCTCTGCTACTTTCAGTTGAAATATACAAAACTCAAAACTCAATTTAGCAATTAGATAAAAAGATTCAGCTAGTTTCTAATTTCCACATGTTCAAGCACATGACTCAGTTAGCAGAAACATTTTGTGGATTAGCTTTTGCAAGCCCTGCTAGAGGGGCCTCGTGTTCTGAGCCTTGCTGGAACTGCCCACAGATGGGCTAATGCACAGGTGAAACCTGCACAGCCCCGTGCTGCTCACTGGAAACACTCTGCATGTGGGGGTAGTGTGTCTTCTTTTAGCTCCAAATGTTTTCAACATCTCAAAATTATTTGTTTGATAGAGGGCAGTAAAGAAAGGTTGTCAAAGCTCTGTCCCTTTGACCCATAATGTAGTGCTCTGCAGCAGCACGCAGTAGCTTCGGGTGGTTTTTATGCCCAGGATTAACAGGGATTGGGAATGATGCCGAAGCAGTGTGCTGAATCAAGGGTCAGAAATCGCTCTGTGAGGCAATTTTTCTGGTAAGATAAAAAACAACAATGATTTCCAAGTGCAAATAAATACCCTAATGCCCTATTTTCAGAATTTGTTTATTTAATCTCAATTTTTGTACAGTTAATGGTGCAGCTAAGACTTTGGATGATCTGACAATGTCGTGTTTCAAGGCACAGAGGCTTGGCTGCAAGTGACAAAATTATCAGAAATTTTGAGACGAATGCAAATAACTTTGTTAGAATTTGATAGAAATGAGAGAGAAAAGAGGACATGTTTTCAATCAGAGAATTATGCCCCTTTTTTCCTTATTAGGGAAAGCAGTGAAGCATTTCTGCTTATGCTGGACTTGGTTCTGGTAGCTGTGCATACAATTACTTTAAAATATGCATTATTTTTAAAAATCTGTATCTTCCAACTATGTATTGAACTTCAACAACAACAACAGAAGAATCTCTTGGACCCATTCTCAGTTAGATGGATTTCTACCTCTGGCTTTATTTTTCTCCTTATGCTCATTTTGGCCATATGAAAAATTCAGGATTAGAGAAGGTGAAACATTTCTTTTGCTTCCAAGTCCTTCCCTCATAAAAGCATCATGCCTTTTTTTTTCCTCATCTTTGATCCACCATGTCTTTGTTCCATTTCCTCTCCACAGTGTCCAAGCATCATAAAAGCCAAAATTCTCTTTTCTCTGGGTTTCTAATAATTACGTCTTACTTGTTTCTAGAATTTTTTTTCTATTTTCCCTTTAAATAAATTGCCAGTACTCTACAAAATACATATTAAATAATAAAGAACTATTATTGCAGGCATAGCTCTGAGCACACTCAGAAATTATTATTTAAGTTTGATTGTGAATGAAGATTTACACTTTGCTTCAGATATATACATATACTGAGAATTTCAGTAGTATATGTTACAGACAGAAATGTCTCCAAGTTTTCTGCAACAAGAGAAAAAAATCCTGTCTTGATTTGCACTATAGTAGTCTCAAGAATATGACTGTGGAATAAAAGTGCTTTCTTCTTTACCCTTAACTGAAGGACAAATTCACATAGTTCATCACGCTGAGCTAATGTATTTATGGTCCAAAGAGTTCTCCTCACTCCCCGACTTCAGGCTTACAGTGGAATCCAAGGTATGTAATGATGATATGAACATGATATACTTTGCTGTAACCTGTGCTTCAGGCAGCTGCTAATGCCATTCTAGCTTTCTGTAGTCTTCAGCCAAAGGAAAGCTGTCTGCAGCATGTGCACAGCTCCAGTCCCCAGTACACGTCCTGTGAAGTCAATGGCATGCTGAAGTAGATGCCACAGAAGCAAACAGCCATTTGTTGAAATTCAAGTTTCAGATGTTAACATATATTTGGGATCATTTCCCTACCTAAGAAAGAAAATAATTTCCTTCTTGCCAAATTATAAGTGCGGCAGTGTCTGAAGTTGCACACAAAGACCCAGAGACACATTTTACAAAACTTTATGGGAAAGATGGTCTGGCTCCAAAGAGATAAAAGTCAAAGGTGGCAAAAAGGTCAAAACACAGAAAGGAGAAACCAAGAACTGCAGTGGGAAGGGAAACAAAGAGAAACACTGACCTCTTCACTCTGCTGAGCAGATCAAGAACAGAAAGGTTTGAATTCAGGCAGTGGGCTCCTAGTCAGCAGTGCCCTGGCAGCCAGGAAGGACATCCCTGTCCTGGGGTCTTCAGGCACAACATCACCACCTGGGCAAGGGAGGGGATTCTCCAGCTCTGCTCTGCACTGGGGTGGCCTCACCTCATGTCCTGGGGGCAGTTTTGGGCACCACAATAAAAGGAAGACATTAAACTATTAGAGAATGTCCAAAGGAGGGCAGCAAAGATGGGAAAGGGCCTTCAGGGGAAGCTGTGAGGAGTGGCTGAGGTCACTTGGTCTGGTCAGCCTGGAGAAGTAGAGACTGAGGGGAGACCTCACTGCAGTTACAACTTCCCCATGAGGGGAAGAGGAGGGGCAGACACTTCTCTGTGATGACAGTGACAGGAACCTAGGGAATGGCCTGAAGTTGTGTCAGAGGAGGTTTAGGTTGGATATTAGAAAAAGGTTCATCATTCAGAGGGTGGCTGGGCACTGGAGCCGCTCCCCAGGGAAGTGGTCACAACACCAAACCTGACAGAGCTCAAGAAGCTTCTGGACAACACTCTCAGGCACATGGTGTAACTCTTGGGGATAGTGCTGTGAAGGGCCAGGAGTTGGACTGGATGACCCTTGTGTGGGACCCTTTCAATTCAGGATATTCTAGTATTTCACAATCCTAAATTTTCAGCCCCAGTTTATGCAAGTCATGGGTTGCTTTATTAAACATAGATCATTATATTTTTTGTAAGTGCAAATGCTTTCGGTGGCATTCAGCTCAACAATATCCTAATCCCTTAGTTTGTGAATGTGCTACACTGATGTACATGATGTGGATCAAAATGTGCACAGTGAGCTTCTCTACAGCGTCTGTTAGTGGTTCTGGTCCTGAGGTATCAAGGGGGGGAATCAATCAATCTTGTTGCTTGTCCTTGGATGCCTGCTCTCACTGATCTGCAAAAAAAAAAAAAAAACAAAAACATGCTCAATTTCGGAGTTTAAAAATTCAGAAAGCTAAGTAGTGTGGAAGGATTATTTGGTTTTATGTACATACAACATTTCTTCTATGACATCCTCATAGGATGTTTATTTCTGTGCAGCAGTATGACATTGCTTACCTATATGTGCCCTTTTTCCCTTAAAATATTTTTATACTGAACTGCTTTTGGTGAGCAGTTTTCATTTTCAGATTATTAATTTTAATTTAGCAACATTAAATTATGTTATCAATATTTAAATGTACCTAAACTATGAAAATACCAGGTGAAGTGTTATGAAAGGCTTCATCACATATACTTACAGCTTCTCCCTATACTCTTATTTATGTGCATACATTAATGAAAATAATGACAACATCTATTGATTCTACTGTGGATTAGATTTTAATTATTACAGTTCGTAGAACAAAGACATCATTAAGTTCATGCAATGCACAACTGCTGTAGGATAACTTAACCTTCTTTGCAAAATCTTCTACAAATCCAGTTCGCTATGATGTGACTGGTTTTAATAGCACTGACAAAATATCAAACTCTTCATTATTCAGGTGCTGAACACCAAGCACATCTTCAGTGCGGGGGTCTCAACAACTTCTTGGAGTGGAGGGGCATCAGCCATGCTTGGAAAGAGGTGAAGCTGAGGTATGGATGCAGCTATCACATATATCTGAATTTCTCAATCACAGAGCCAGCTACTGAGGCAGCATTTGCATGTGCACAGTGACAGGCAGGCTTTGTGGACAAGTGAAGATAAGAAGTAGGTGCAAAGTTTGCAGCTGATCAATGTGGGCAGCACAGACATGCTATTTATCTTCCCCGAGCTCCTTGGAAAAGGCTCAAGGCACCTTCAAGGGCATTTTCTCTTACCAGAGAGAAAGTGAGCTCTTCTGTGGCTAAACTCCCTAGTGACCTACAAAGGATTAATTGTAGGGTGAAATAAGAAGAGCCAAAGTTGAGGAATTGATTTTTGGCTGAGAGGAGCACTCAAAAACAGTACAGATTTCGTAGTCACAGGGAAATTTCTTGGATCTAGTGCCACAATGAGTTATGGAAAGGGTGTAGACAGGAAAATATGACAGCAAGACCACAGAGCAAAAACAGAGAGTAGGAGCTGGCTGCATATTAAGAGGAGATGGAAAAGCAGGCAAAAAGAAAATAATGTAAATTTTATTTCTATAAAATCCACATATCCTACAATTTTTTTTCAATTATCCTACAATTTCCATGAACGGTATCTCCTCATTCCAGTAATAAATCTAACCCATAGTTTCTAGATCCCATTATTTAATGAGATTTTGTAACACTGTAATTTAATTACTTGCACATCTGATTATTTGCACATTTCTACTGAAGTACTCGTCTGTGTGACATTCTAACCACTACATTCATCACAAAACATGCTTTGGAGTAAGTATGACAGTGGGAGTTTGCTCGTCAAAGCTTTTTAAAAACAGAAATGCAATTCCAAACCAGGACCTAACCTGCATGTGTACCATCATAAGACTACTTCAGCATCCTTCAAACATGATTGCAAAGAGCAAAATTAACCATTTGAGCATGCTAATCAAGGCATTGATTCTGCAAATACTTACTACCAGGCTTAATCCCTTTGAAAGCACAGGGACTATTCATGGTCAGAAAAGCTGTGCCTGTGAGTAAACATTTGCCTCTTTCAGCCCTTGAAAGCGATTGCAGGCAGTATTTTTCTTCTGGATGGACAGTGCTCTCTTGTTGGCAGTCCACAAGTATGAAATGACATATCCTATAATTGTGAAAATGATACAGGACTGCCCCTAATAACAGTGTGCAGGCAGCAATTGGCTCGGTGGTGAGAGAGAAGCGCTTAGTCATTCTGTGAGAGGCAGGCAGGAAATGTCGAGATGAACTGTTGTAATTAGACATGTGTTATTAGAATTTATTAAAGCACAACTAGTTATACTGGTTGTGCATATTCTGTAGGCAGAGCTTGTGCAAACCCGAGTAATCTAGCCTTAGCTGTGCAATATACACCTTGTTTACAGTAGAGTTGTGCTGACCTAACTACATGAGTACAGTTAAAGCTGTACATCTCCAGTTCAGGAGCTGTGTAAGAATTACTTATTTTTCCCTAGCAGAAATAAAACCAGTGTCAGTGCAAAACACCTTCATACCAGTATAAGCATACATAATTTCAAACAGTATAATTAAATGGGGTGAAAAAAAATTACATAGCTGAAATAACATGGTTAATTTGGTATATGATATATGAAGAGACAAAACTCTCTATTTCACAAATAAATGTCAATGGATGACTGTCACTCCTCTTGCATGTGAGAAGGAAGAGAAGTGAAAATAACCAATGTTTGCTATAGAACCTTTTTGTCTGAGCAACTTGTGACCAAACCAGCATTTGCAAACTCAGTGAAATGCAATGTATTCATTTGGTGGCTGCCTGTAAAAGTAGTTGAATCAGTCTAAACTGATTCTTTGCATAGGAATGAAGAGGGAATCACTATGGCTGGATGGAGTGAAGCTGCTCATTTAAGAAAACAGTAAAAGATCACAGAGGAATAAATGTTTCTGGTAGCATAAATTTTACTATAATGTTCCAGTTTCTCATCTTGAAAATGGAAGGGACTTCCCTTTCATTTTTTCTTCCATTTTCATTTTTCCGGTCAGATAAAGTAATGCCTATATATGAATAAGAAAAGGCCTTTTTTGCTATGGCAAAAGCTGGCTAATACTGTCTGAAGATTTCTGTTTCCCAGTGACCACTGAGGAGCACCATGGTGCTGCTGGACAGATGGCAGAACCAGCCACCAAAAATGGGCTTCTGCTTGGGCCCCTGACTCTGGCCTGCTGTAAAACCTTTGGCAAACCACCTTCTCTCTCTGTGTCTCAGTTTTCTCCTTCACAAAATGAGAGAAATGTTTTTAGTAAGTGCAAGAAATTCTTTTTATATGCCATCAAATCTATGCATTATAATAGTACATTATTTTCTGTAATATAGAAACTCTGTTGTTATGAAAATGGTTCATTACACAATTCCTGGTAAATCTTTCAAATATTTAAAAGCATGATATTGAACACTTGCAAGCCAGACCAGACCCCACTGGCTTTACCAATATGAATTTTTGTTGAGCTGTTTGCCAGGATGCACATCATGACATATGCTAATAGCTTTTGTTTTACTAATAGTCTTTTGGATATCATCCCAACATCTTCTAGTCATTCCAAATCATGTTTGCAAGAGATGGGTATGAAGCAATTCTCCAAGTTTGATGACTTCTCAGTTCAATTAAGTTCAGAGGCAGGCTCTGATGTACTCCCTTCTCTTACCAAGCTCTAATTCTGCCCAGATTTGTATGAAAATTGATTTTTAAATATGCATATATGAATGACAAGAACAGTCTAGGAGCTAAACAGGTTTTATTCCTGTCCTTTAGTTGTAAACTGTCTATCTTTCTGGCTCTAACTCAGAAAACCACTTTAACCTGTGATTAAATCCCAGTGAAATCAAGACTTTAGCACACAGTTAAGGCTCAGCATACACTTCAGTGCTTAAAGGGTCAGATTAATAACATGCATTCTTGAAAGAATATTTATCATGGTAAGCCATTATTTCCCTGACAGAAAGAAACCTATGTGATCATGAGACACTTGAAAATATATTAAGTAACACTGAGACCACTTGAATATTCAATTTTTGTGAGGTCTGACGTAATAAGTTTGGTAGCTCCACCCTTTCCGTACCCTGCAGGTGACTCCTGGCGTTATCTCAGCCCTCCACAACCCCCACTCCCTTATCATTCACCTTCAAGAATTCAGTTTATCTCTTGAAACACGCATGGAAATTATGTACACTTATACTGAGAAATGCAGGGATGTACCATTCACTGCTCCTTCCTGAAAAACCCATATAATTTGTAGACATTAATATATAGTAGCATATACATATATATTTATGGATTTCTGCTTTCATTTTTATGCACCTCTGCAACAAACTTTGAAACACCAGTATTTTCTTCTTTTAGGGAAATAAGGACTTTGTGTATATTAACCAAGTAAACATAGATTCATCTGTGTGTAGCACCTTATCTGACATATTTCTGAACTGCAAATTGGCTGCATCGCATCTAATGTTATTCTGTGTTTTTTACAAGTCCTTAACTAAGTTGTCAGCATGATGAAGGTGGGAGACTATTCTATATATGCTATATCCTGTCAAAATATGGCAGAGCTCATATGGTCCTTCCACAGAGACCTTCCAGGTCTAGGGATTTACAGAGTGTATTCTGATCTGATAGAACCAAATGTACACCACATTGTTTAATGCAACCTAAATATTTTAACTAATGCTTAATCTTCAGAAGCAGGTTTTCCAATGTCATATAAATGGAAATACTCTGTGGTGGCTTCTTGTGAAGTGCTTCATATTGTAGGTGTATAAAGGTCTATTTTGATTATCTTATGACATGGAAAAGGACTGAAAGTGAAATAAACAACCCTAATGCAAGATGTAAGGAGCATTCACAGTTGTATGGGATAAAACCTTCCCAAAGAGATAAATTATTTTAAGAGATAAGAGATAACTAAGTTTTTTCATTGGCATTACATTAACTTCTTACCAAGACATTCAGCCACTGCAAAGAGCAACTGATACTGTCTGCAATTATCATACACTACCATGGGTGTTGTTCCAGCCAAAAAAAGACAATTCCTGTCATACCACCATTACCACCTTGTACAGTCTTGGGCTGGAGATGAAAGGAAATTACTAACTCAAGAGGTGTATGAATCTCAGAAGTTGCTGTTCCCACAGGAAGAAGTGATTTGCCATAACTTCGCAAGGAAATAACTGGCATAATTGTCCAGCAGCTCAAGGGTTAAAAAAGTGAAGCATGCAGCATGAGCCTTCATAAATCTTTTCCCCTTCTAAGAGTGGGTTGCTGCTGCAGTGATATTATCACAAGACCA